ACTAGAGAACTTAAGCACCAGGCTATTTTGCGACGGCGACGGTGACCGGAAGTGACTTTTTGTTCCGGTAGGCGTTCTGGAGTTGTCTGTCAAGTCGCCTTCGTTTCGCGCGAACGTGAGAACCTTCATTTTGGCGTTGTATCCAGAACGTGAGTATTTTTCCCTCACTAGCTTGTCTCAAACTTGTTGTAACATTTTATTTTGCTCTTGTTACCTTTTTAGAATTATTTTCTTTCATGTTGTTCAAACTGTATACTCAAATATAGATAAACACACGGACATTTTCATTTCTCGTAGCTTTGAGCAAAAGATGTCGGCGCCCGCCTCCGATGGAAAGGCAAAGTAAGCTTAACTATTGAGTCTTTCGAAGACATTTCAACGGAAAATATTTTTATGTTTATCTTAACAAGTTTACATTTTTCCTCGACCATCGGTCAAATAGATGAATTGTCGTATTTTGCTTTTAGAGCTATGGAGTGGACTGAAGATCATGATGTTATTTTGCTTCGAGAAATCCTGGCGAGCGATTTGTTTTCATTCAAAAAAGGAAGTGTTGCCAGGGGAGAAAGGTGGGAATCGATCACAGAAAAGTTAAATCAAGTGAAGACACTCTGTTTTCATCTCAAAGATAAGAGGGCAGTAAGAGACCGATGGGTTCTTCTCCAGAAGAAGTATAAGGCTAAGATGCATCAAGAAGAAACTGCAAGTGGAATATCCGTGGACGATATGTCTGAAATAGATGTTTTGCTAGAAGAACTCGTCGGGAAAGAAGAAAGCTTAAACAAAGTTGGTGATGCTCAGTCAAGAAAGCAAAAAGAAGATAAAAGCAAGGCAGAGGACATAAGGCAGAAAGCTTTAGAGCGATACAGCGAAACGGAAAAGCGAAAGTCAACAGAGAATGGCGACGAATGCGTGGAGAAACCGAAGCGCCAACGGAGAAGTGCTCGCACCGAACCACTAGTTGAATTCATGCAAGAGAAAGTCAAGACTGAGCGAGAATTACGACAACAAGAGCTGGATCTAAGAAGACTAGAGCAAGAGCAGAATCAGCGAGTGATGGTGACTGTCTTACAGCAACAACAACAAACAAATCAAGCCATTCTGTCGGTTATTGAAAAGCTTCTTGAGAAGAAGGAATGACATTTTCCCTAAGTATGAACATGTAAAGTCAGTGTTTATTTGTTTCAGAAAAAAGACAGGTATTTGTTGAAATTGATGTCTTATTATTTACTTGCGTTTTGTGAATTGGAAAAAAAAACCAAGTTCATTTATTGTTATTGTTACAAGTTTGATCACTTCTGCATTGTTGACCACCAAGAAGAATTCAAGTACTTAATGAATTTATGTTGAATTATAATGGCCTTCATTTCTGCTCGGTTTATAAGAGAGAATTTATCTAAAATAATACGGCAATGAAGGAGGGTCTAGACCAAAAAACTCTCAGGTTTTGTTTCCATATAGGCAGGTACCAGCATTATTAAGAAGTGCACATACAAGATACATTTTTCCCACTCAACTCGTTCCAATTCTCAGGTTTTTCTTAAAGTTTAAAAACTTAAGGTCGTTGATGATGTCACCAGATAGCCACTCCACAGTTACTCTAACAGAACTCATGTCAAAATTGTATTGTTCCATCATCGGTGTTAGGACACCATGGCGAAATGGGGCCTGTAGGTGTATTCGCAGCGGATAGGCGGGATCACCATGAACACTCATGGGTTGGTCAGTTGGGGAAAATGTATTCCTTTCCAATTCCTGGAGAAGATTGGAATCTACCAAGGTGCTTGCATCATGTTTTCTTCCCTCTGCATACCAAAACGGATAAATAAAATTAATAAATGAGATAAACCTTCTGTGGCAGCTTATATTAATTGCATCCCAGTAAACATAACTTACCGAAAGGCCCATACATATTTCCAATGAGTCCATTTGGTAGAGCGACGGACTGAAACTTGAGGGAATGTACCCGTTTATAGCCATTGTACACTATTGTTTGGTGTTGGCCTGGGCGAGAAATTGATCTGACTGTTCCATCAATAAACCCAAAGCAGTTGCTGAGAGGTGCACCCTTTGCATGAGTAACATCTGCATACTCCTGTGGCATTGGCGGAATCAAGATATCAAAATTCCATTGTGAAATAGGATGACCATGGCTCAAAAAAATATGATCCATCATTGTATTGGTAATCATACTTATTTCAGGAACTGGTCTTGCGAAACGATGAATCGTGTCTGGATAGCGACACGGATACGAGAAGCGTTTCAGAAGCATACTAAGCCCTTCAATTCGGTCACACGTTGTTCTTTGTGGACTGCGTATAGTGTCTGGTAATTGAAGGACATTTGCCAATAACGTTATGTCCTGTTTTCACAGTCTGAACTCCGCTAAACACTCTGATTCATCCATCTGGTGGAAATCAAACTTAGGGTAGGAGCTGTAAGGGATTTCTGGATTCTTGGAACTGTAACGTTCGTACAAGGTCAAAAATTCTTCATCACTGATGATTTTACTATCGTACAAAAAAAAAGCAGGTTTCTCATCTCACTGAAGGATGACATGAAATTGTGGTGCATGCCGTTGAAATATGACTCTTTAAGGATTATTCATCATATCGCACGCAGCACGTGTGGGAAAGATGATGTAAATCCTGTGTTCTAATTGGCTACTCGAGCAGGCAAGATGGGCCCATCTTACCCGCTCAGGATTGCCCGTATTGATCCCGCGCATGAGAAAAATAGAATAAGAACTACGTTCGTAACTCTTGGAGAATTTCGGCGACGGAAAGGCAAAAAGCGGCAGAAGATAGTCAAAACAAAGAAAATAGAAGCAGCTCTCGTGAGTTNCTGGAGGCGGAGGAGGGGTAGATAGAGCTCGGTCAAGACATGAAGGATGTGACGCCAGCACAAACACAACAGGGAATCCTGGATACAAATCATGGTCAGGGGGGAGCAATGGTCATGGTGCACACACTGGCTGTAAATTTTCATAATGACGCGTTTGTAAAGAACTGTTAATTCATGACACCTTTTATTGATAAATGACTAACGTTTTACGACACCGGAAGTGTTTCCAAACCGGAAACCAGTTCTGTCGCTAACCAGTTTTACTTGCGAATAGAAGTTAAAGGACTTCCATAAATGTATTTTTTTGATATATAAAAAATTTTATTATAAAAAATATAACTTGACCCTAATTAAGGCAGTCGCATAGTTCTTAATTAAGGATATCTGAGACATTTGACGGCCAACATTGGTTTGCTTATTTGGCAGCTGACGGTAAAAATATTGCGTTTTTGGGTCAAGGTCATGACGCACGGGCCGAATTCGGCGCGGTCCGTCCTACAGTTTGTGACCGTAAGCCAAATATCTTCCCGTTTAGCCTAATCAAACATGATTAACCACCTCAAAAATTTGGTTTTACACTAAAAGGAGGCGATGCACAAGCGCACACTGAACAATCACTATAAAGATCCTGCAGGAAAAACTTTTTTCTTTGTTTTTTCGTGTCAGAACAAGAAACCCGCAGTTCATTAACCCGTCCGACCATGCACACGTCAGCTTTCACTATGATTTTAAGAGGGGATACGCGCGCCATGATACATATGTGAAAAGTAGAACTTGCTGCGCGTTTATAAAAGATCATATCTAAAAATTAAACTATGTAGTTGTAATCTATAAACATCAAAAACATCTAGGTTACTTCTCACATAAACAGCAACTCCGCCTCTTTCCCTCAAAACCACTCTTGACCAGTTCCTGTCCCGTCTGAATATATTTTAGATCGGTACGTTGACTATTGATTCAGGTTAATCTAGCTCAAGGTGTGTTTAGGAGGCGACGCAAACATCAATATCGTTCTTATTTAAATGATCTTCAAGTGTACAGCCGCTCTAAACTGGTTCTTTGTTTTAGTTGGGCTCAAATGTTTGTAAATAAAAATTTTGGAACAGCGAACTCACATTTCGGGCTTTACTGACTTGGTGTAGATAAGGTCGATTGTCTGGTGTTCAAAATCAAGCAGTGGTCTCGTTGTATAGGCTTAGCCGTGTAGTTTGGCAGTAGTGTCTCTCTGAGTGATGGCCACTGGCATGGTATCCAATCTATAAGTAGTTTACGGTTGGTGGTTAATTAGTTTAGTTTAGTCTATTGAGATTTGCCACTAAAAAATACCATTTACAAGTAAATACTTGAACAGAGACACGCAATAAATAAACAAAAATATAATGGTAGGACTACAGGGCCAGCCCCAATTGACATTTGTCCCCTTAAAAAATACAAAGAATAGAAAAATATGGGTTACATATGCACTTATGTACTTTGTCTATAGAATAAAATAATTTGCAGACCAACTGCGACACTTAGGTAGGGCGGAGTATAAATCGTGAGCTTTTCTGTATAAAACCGCTTAACTCAGGCTTTAAAGTTATGTAAAGAGCTCGCTTGCTTAATGTTGCTCGGTAAATCGTTCCATAATTTAATTGTGCGAGGAAAGAAAGAGTTTGTAAAATACCGCTGAGTATGAGTAAATAAAGGGCGGATGTTTGCAGGATGATGACGTCGGGTTGCGTATGTATGGTTAGCAGGAAGCAGAAGATGGTCAAAGCTAGCGTTGATAAGACCTGACCTAATTTTGTATAAAATGACAAGATCATGGACTTCTCTTCTGAATTCAAGCGGCAGTAGGCTAAGAGTTTTCAGTCTCGCAGTGTAGCTGGTTTTCCTATCTGGGTGGTTTAGTATAAATTTAGTAGCCCGTCGTTGTATATTTTCGATTGAAATTGAAATGTAATACGATTCTCCTGAGTCTGTAATTTTATTACTCTGTTTTTTTACAAAGCCTCTTTTGTATCTCTGTGTGCCAACCAATAATTAAAATCTCAGTGAAGAGATAAGCCTTANTTTTGTATAAAATGACAAGATCATGGACTTCTCTTCTGAATTCAAGCGGCAGTAGGCTAAGAGTTTTCAGTCTCGCAGTGTAGCTGGTTTTCCTATCTGGGTGGTTTAGTATAAATTTAGTAGCCCGTCGTTGTATATTTTCGATTAGCCTACGATGCTTTGCTGTGTAAGGAGACCATACAGAGGATACGTACTCGACGATTGGGCGAACTAACGCAGTGTACATCATTTTCCTAGTTGATACGTTAACATTGTCTCTACCGCATTCACACTTTACAAGACCAAGAACTTTGTTATCCTTGGCACATATCTCTTCGATGTGCGTCGTCCATGATAGTGGAGTAGTGACAGTCACGCCTAAATCCTTGGTGTCAGGAGGCGAGTCCAAGGTCTGGCCGTCTAAATGGTTTGTATGCTTCTCTCTTTGGCGCGAGGCTCTCTTTGACATGTGTAGCACTTTGCACTTGTTTGTGCTGAAAGACATACCATTGTCGTCACACCAAGTTTTGGAATTGTCCAAGTCAGCTTGCAGCAGGGAGGCACATCCATTGGAAACAATAGGGCGATATAGCTTGCTATCGTCCGCAAAGAGGCCAAGTTTACTTTCGTGGGTAATGGAGCACGAAATGTTATTAATGAAGACCAGCAATAAAAGCGGACTCAGGATGAAGCCCTGGCTCCGGTTGTTCAAAGGGCGGATAACGCTATCCAACGGATAAATCGCTATCCAGCGGATAAGTGTTACCAAAACGCACTGCGCTATCCACCGGATAGAGATTTATCCAGTGTATAGCGTTGTCCACCCTTTGAACAACCGGGGCCTGGGGTACTCCTGATGTGAGCGGGAGCCAGTCTGAGGATATGCCGTCAACAACAACTCGTTGGTATTTGTCAGAAAGATAGCTTGAGAACCACAACAAAACTGGACCGGATATACCAAGGAGCTGAGGCTTCGAGAAGAGTAGAATGTGTGGAACCTCATCAAATGCCTTTGACAGGTCAAAATGGATTACGTCCACCTCTTGGCCATTGGCTACTTTGTCTAAACTATCGTGATACACCTCAAGTAGTTGCGTTTCTGTGGATTTTCGTTGTCGTCACACCAAGTTTTGGAGTTGTTCAAGTCAGCTTGCAGCAGGGAGGCACATCTATTAGAGTTGGTGAAGAAAAGACGATAAATGAGGGTAGCAGTGATTAAAGACGCATGGTTCCATAACTTTGGAGACAATGCATAAAAGAGAAATTAGCGTGTAATTCTCCGTTAGTGTAGGATCGCCCTTTTTAAAGACGGGTGCAATGTTCTCGCGCTTCCAATTTGCTGGAAAAGAGCCCGTGGGCAGGGACATGTTAAAGAACCTGCATAATGAAGGGGCAATTTCAGCAGCAGTATGTTTTAGGAGTGAACCGGGGATATCATCTGGTCTACCGGCCTTACTCGGATCAATATTCGACAAAGCATCCATCACTTTAGCAACTGTAACATTTCTTGGAATGTCGTTTAGAAAACAAACTAAACGCGAATTTGGCTGTAGATTTTCATGATGACGCGTTTGTAAAGAACTGTTCGTTCATGACACCTTTTATCGATAACTTACCAAAGTTTTACGACACCGGAGGTGTTTACAAATCGGAAGTCAGCTCTGTCGCTAACCAGTTTTAGCAGCGAATAGAAGTTAAAGGTCTTACATAAACGTCTTTTTGCGATTATCAAAAATTTTATTCGTAAAAAATGGAACTTGATCCCAATTAAGGCAATCGTATGATTCTTATTAAAGGATATCTGAGACATTTTACAGCTAATGTTGGCTTGCTTATTTGACGGTTGACGGCAAAATATTGCGATTTTGACAGTTGACGGTTAATATTTTTGCCATTTGAGGGTTGACGGTTAACCCAATTGAGAACCTCGTAGAGGTCATCTTAACTGTAAATACGAGTCAAGGTAGCGGTAACTTTGTTGGCGGGAGAACAGAAATCATTTGGCTCGAGGTCGTGACGTACGGACCGAATGTAGCACGTTCCGTGCCTCGTGACCGAGAGCCAAATATTTTCCCGTTTAGTCCGACCAAGCTTAATTAACAAGCATCTTACCATATGATCACTTTGAAAATTTGGTTTCAACCTAAATAGGACGCGATGCAAGAGCGCACGCTGAACAATCACAATAAAGATCCTGGAGGAAAAAAAATTTCTTTGCTTTTTCGTGTCAGAAGAAGAAACTCAGCGTTCATTAACTCTTCCGACCTTACAAACGTCAGCTTTCACTTTGACGGTTATTAATGGGATTATGCGCGTGGGGCTGTACGGGTCAAATTATCATCAGGCATAAACCTGCAATTTAGCACTAGGTACTGCGTTAAATCAACTTATAGTATGTTGGACAGGGGAAGTAAGACAAAACAGTTTATACAACTTGGTATTACAGATGCTATATACAAATATCAAACCTCATGGATAGCGGCTCAAGTAAAATGCATTACGCAGGGTTTGGCCAAACTGATACAGGTTTACTGAAGCGTTTTAAAATACTAGCAAAAATTTCCAAAAATCGAATGGGTTACCATCCCGTTGAAATATAGTTTCGCTTCTGTTTACGAAAATCTTGAAATATATTCATTGTATTTCAGGTGGTGGTGGTGGCGGGTTTTACTCAAGTGGAAGAAGTGGAGAGAATTTTAATGGAATAAAAGGATGGGGTGGAGAAGGTGGTAAGGGATTTAATCAGGGAGGGGTGGGTGGAAAACCCGGGTTTAACCATGTCGATGGTGGGTTTGGTGGAGGTGGTGGAGGTTATGGAAGAGGAAAAAGGCAAAAAGAAGGAGGAGGAGGAGGAGGAGGAGGATATTCTGGAGGGAGCAGTGGAAAAGGGACTCCTGATTCCTGTGGGGGCGGGGGAGGCTCTTACAACAAGGGAAACAACCAGGACAATGAATGTTGTTTTAACAACGCTGGTCATGGGCAAGTGACTATTACGTTCCTGGAGTAAAAAAACGTTTATCTAATATGATAATGGCACTATAAATTCAGCTTTCATTGATTGGCATTCTAATTGACTGATAGCACTCATTTAAAAGGCCAAATAAAATGTAAATGTTTAATTTTTAAACCTTCTGAAAAACACAAAAGTCACGCATCTTATTTTTCATTTGGTTTACTTTTAGCCATCATTTCTTTCGGTCATCTATTACATTAACTGACCTCGGCGCTTTTTTAGAGTTGAAAACTACAGATAGGGCTCTAAAACTTGAGATAATGAAGAAAGTTTTTTTTTCCAGAAGTCGAGTCTCACTCGTTATACTTTTTCACCAGGGTCTTAAGGAAAGGTCACAATATCTCACAGACCAATTATCACACTGTACAACCTAAAACGATTAGAAATAATTCCAGACGATTATATCTTCTGGAAGCCTAGGATTGAGTTTTGCCTGATCTTTCAAATCAATCCTTTGATACGAATCTTCACTGACCTTCTTTTACCGATGTTCAGTGAGATCAGTAAAGATTTTGAGATCAAACAGTAAAGACGCCTATTACAATGTAACAGTCTGGAATCAGTCTGGCTGTTCGAACGTAGCAGTAATCTTAACATTGAAAACGTGTTGTCAAATGATGAAGACTAGCTTGAGGGGATAATGACACGCACGATTTTGTCAAAATTGAGATCCCTCCCGGGCCCATTGAGGAAGGAAATCATTTGCAAATTGGTATAACAACCGGAAAACCCAATGAGTTGCTACGGCAACTTTGTAAATTTGCTTGTGAAATTGTAAATTATGGACCAGAATTAAGTAGGAAGTATTCACAAGTACTTCATTTAACGACAGTTGTTTAAAAGTATCGCTAGCTTCGTAAAAAACTGTTCTTTTAATGTGTGAGGTATGCATACTTTTTTGAATAATGGAATAATATTCCCTATCTATCTGTAATAATAATTTATATCATACGCTTTGACAGTCTGTTCTGAATTTAAGAAAAAACATATTATGTATTTCGTAGAAGTACTTGTTATAAAGAGAAATATGTCGTTGCCATCGGCGAAGAAGGTGTCTGTTTGACCCATAACCTTTCCGTTGAATAATGAATTGTTTTAGCCACCTATCAAGCAATTGCAAAAAAGACCACGGCCTCTTACAGGGAGCTAGAAACATTTGGAAAAGAATTATTTTCTTATAAAGATGTTGAAATAGAAGATAAGTGTCAAAAGGGTTTTATGAAATGGCAGCAATGTCTGTGGTGGCCGGGGACATTACTTACATTTACTATTTAACAATTATTCCACGAGCGCGCGTTGG